TTTTCCAGTACCGTACCTTGAATTTCGTCGTTATGAGAACCCCGCCTGTACATTATTTAGCTGCTGCCATCATGAGAAGGTCGACAAAGTGTCCTTCTTCCAGTTGCACGGAAGAACAAGAAAGCCTGGTTTATTATTATTTATTTATTTTTTATTTTATTTATTCCTTTCATTTTTTCTTTTTTTTTTGCTCGTCAGCAGGTCTCATTATTATCGAGAGCTTTAATCAGACACGAATCGATCAGCAAGACGGCAGCCGCGCATCGAACAAAGGTAGGCTTGAAGAAAAAAAAAAGTACCGATAAGTCACACAGTGTTCACGACTTAATGACGCCTTTTTCCCGTCGCCCGGGCGATAATGATGATGGAAACCCGCCGGTGCTGGTACGCAAACAGTACTTTTCAGCGAACGGAGACTTGCCACATTTGTTCCAGCCAAGGTTCTTTTCGTTTCACACCAGCAACAGGGAAACGATAAATGAACGTACTTTCGCGGGGGGGAAAATGACTTTTGATGATGATGATGACGTTACGCTCGCGGGGCGACGAAAAACATTCACTGCTTGCTTGGAAACAACTCGGTTTCCACGCATAAATCTCACCACTTTGACCACATTGATATAATCCACTGAAGGGAGGCGATGAGGGAAAAAAATATATATATATGTATCCCACCGAATTTTTATTTCCATCCTCGATCCTTTAATTTCGTTTCGGATACAAATCGATTTCGCGGATGCGTATTTGCAGTAATGTGATGTACTTTACAGCTAGTATATATATATATATATATATACAGGTGCAGTACTGTACTAATGTTGCTGAGTGCAGAAAAGAAGGAATCATTTTTCGAGGCTTCCGGATTGAAACCGACGGAAACAAGGTTTCCCGTCCGAATCCGAGACGTACAATTTATGCTACTGACTCAAGAAAAAATTCGACAACCACACAATTTTTAAATCTCTCGTCTGCGGTGACCGCAATACTTTTTGTTTTGTTTTTTGCACTGCGCGAATTTCAGTGTGCCCCATGTGGGAACGCGGGCAGGCAGAGGACACGACGTTTTTCAGGTACAGGAAAACATATATTGTGCATCCCGTTCTTTGAACCCCCTTTTCCAGCTCAAGATAGGGTCCAATTAGAGCATTGGATTTAATTTGGGAAACAAAAGAGAAGCCAACTGTGCCGAGTGGAAAGTGAATAATGCTCCGAATGAAAATTGATCACGGCAACGGAAGCCGCAAAATGACGAACTTTGTGGTGGGATTCGCGATGACACGGCTTATTTTCGTCCGCGAGCAAAAAAAAAAAAAAAAGAAAAGAAAAAATAATAATCGCTGTCTCTTCAACAAGTTTCCTCACGCTCATAACAACGATTGAAAATGAGTGTTGGAAAGACGGATAGTCTTGTTCTGTTCTTCTCTACATATTTCAATAAATGGCTATAATTAATAGCCCGAAATCACAAAGGAAACAAGATTCAACTCATTCACCCTGAGCTCAGATTTATTAAAAATGAATATGAAATGAATTATATATACACAATGATGAATGCAAAGCCAACGCATTTTTCGTTTGAAAAGCCAAACTTTGTTGAAACCCCATCGTACTTCCTCAAGAATGAGCACAATAACTACGATTTCGTGTCCCACGGTTCCTAAAAATTAAGGACTCAAATTATATGAGTGTCGGGTTATCCTGACTGCAGCTGGTTGTGAACTGGGTTTATCATGTAATTCCCCTTTTCCCCCACTCTGTCTGGGATTTCAATTTGATAACGCGGTCTTTCCACACACAAAAAATGCTGACTTGGAGTTACTCTAAAAAGAAAAGAAAAAAAAAACAGAAAAATTCCACCACAGCCCAAAAAGTTTTAAGAAGAACTGTAGCAATAAAACCCTATATTGACTCACTAGGAAGAAAAAAAAAATCCGAACTGAAATTGTACTCGCAGATATTGAATAATGGGACATGACTTTTAGAGCTTTTCATGCATTTGACGGAAAAAAATACGGAAAAAAAAATGCATTTGACGGATATAGAATCAAGGAAATTTACTAGAAAAAATTTTGAATGATCTTTTTTTTCTCTCCAGAAATCAACCCTTTGCTCAAGTGCCAATCAAATTCGAATTCATCGCACGTATATAATCTCATCACACGGCTCATGAACATTCGTGCTGCATTTGTAAATAAGAAAGGGACAAAAAAATCACGTCTAAAATCCAAACGATAATATAGTTAGCCAAAAATATAAAAAATAAAAAAATAACGTTAGCGCCATCCACTGAATCTACTTTAAATAACACTACTTTAAATTTCGGCGATTTGAGAATTGAAAAAAAAAAACGTTTTAAATGTAGAAAATGTGATTTTCGTTTTGCTGACTTATTGGAATTCGAGTACGTCCTTCGAATCTCAGCCAAGAAGGGAAGAAAAAAAAGGGTTGACAGACGTCATCCCACGCCTTAAGATGGCGGCGCCCCAGGGCGATTGATGCGTTGCGGAAAATTCCTGCGCCGCCAAAAAACGGACGCCTTCTTCCTCAATCTCGCTCCAGCGCCGCCAAGTACTATTTACTCGCATAGAACGCTAGTTACACATGCTCGATCAAAATAATGGGGCTGGAAAGCCCGAACATTGCAGCAGCAGCAGCAGCGTAAAAAGGAAACGAGTGTATACTGTATGATGCGGGAAATACTCGGCTAGATAGGCGGGAAAATCACTGCCTTCCTTCGTCGCCAACTCGTCCTCCTCTTCGTCATATTCTGTACTGTATTCTCCCCCACACTACCCGTGAATCGCCAAACACTGGCTTTTCCACTTTTCTTTTTAATAACTAGAAAATAAAGAGACTTCTACTTTTTTTTTTTGAAAAGGGGGGAACAGGGGAGGAAAGGATTGAATCAACGTAGAGTGATTTTGGGGTGCGTTCGGTCAACTCCTACTCGTTCTTCGTCGGGCCGTGACAGGCAAAGGCGTGAAATAGTAGGTGTTCTCATCCTCCTATACTACCCTACTTATATTTCTTCTTATCTTCTCTGTTTTCTGTGGAAATCGCAGAAACCAACGAAGAAGAAAAAGAAGAAGTATAGTTGAGCAAGCTTAACACGACTGCAGTGGCAGACGAATTTGAATCCTTAGTTCATCACCGATCGAAGACCACGACTGATGAATGCCTACTTGATTGTTTCAAAAATGTCACGCTACTGCATTTTTTTTTTTCAATCGAAAAAGGCTTATGATAAAATTTCTGGAATGGAAAATAGGGGTTCGAACACACATTTTTCACCGGGCCAGGTAGCCCGGACTGCTGCCATTTCATTGAGAAAGCATAGAAATGAAAAAAATAAAAATACACTGCAACGCACTGTGTGAAAAAAATGAGAATTTTTCACGGAATTGTATTTTGTTTATTTTTTTATTTTAATTTGAAATAAAAAAAGTGTCTGTCATCCCAAGGGTGAAAAAAAAAAAATGGAGCGCACCTTTTTCCCCAAGCGTGATCTGATGAGTACACGGTGTGGAAATTGTCGGATCGAGACGAGATTGCTCGTTTCCGCGACGGGGATCAAGACGGACGACCACCACAACGTGTACAGTATATGTACTGCTCAACAAAAACCTGTCGTCGAGAGACGAGTATAGGGCGAGGCAGCGCGAAACAGGAACATAACACACACAAAAAACAGAAAAAAGGACGGGGAAGCGGATGGGGAATAAGAGAAGCAAAGGAAAAAAACACACGATTCATCCGGAAACAAGGTCTAAACCTGTCCCTAAAGTCGACCCATCGCAGTACAGTACTGTATACTAAGCCTATTACATTGGAAAGTGTCAGCTCTTTTAAAAATAAATCAGTATTCTAAACATGTGCCTCATCTCTTTTTCTTTTCTTAAAATAATTATGTGCATATATCGGATACAACGCTCTAGCTTTTGGTTCGCAAAATACTGTTTTGGATGCATATACTGTAGTGAACAAATGGCTTCATAGCTCATCGAACACATAGCAGCACTCAGGATGGTCAATGACTTGGACTCAGGTCAGGTGGTGGACAAACGACTGTTCGAAACGGAATTCACTACTGTTTCGTGCCCCGAAAAGAGGCAAATATTCAAACAAAATTCCCTCTTCGACTTGAATAACAAGAAAGGAGAAGGAAAAATAAATAGAATAGTAGGTTCAAATAACCCTCAGCTGTGGTCAAGAGAAACAAAAAGCAAAAAAACCAGAGCATCAGACAGGGTCCCACACATAACACTGAACCCAAACCCCAAAGAAGAAGCATTCGCGTCACCGGGATGCCAATTACACCCCATCCTGCCGAAACCGCACTCTTCACGACGACGGGAAGGACTTGGAGAAATAAAAAGAAGAATCAACGAGAAAATAAAATAAAAATAAATCACGATGGAACGACGAGACGAAATGAAAATACTGTAGTACCCGTTCCCCCCGTGAGCCCAATTTAAACGCAGTTCGGTGCCAGGTTGCACAGAGTACCAACAAAAAGGGTTAATTCCCAGAGCAATCTTCCATTCAAGTCCTCATCATCCAAACGAGGAGAGGGGGGGTTGAAGAATGAAAATAAAAACATGAGGGAGTACAGCAGCACAGTACTGTACCGCCTTCCTGTCTGTCTGTCTGACTGTATATATTCATCTATCAAAGTTCGCGTGTGTGGGGATCGAATTTCCGCCAAAAAAAAAAAAGAAAAAAAGGTTCGTTTCGGCTTGTCTCACGCTCGTTCGCAAGGCGTGAAAACCGTTCGAAAAAACTCATGATCACCTGCGAACTACCTTTTCGTTCCTGCTTTCATGCCATAATCGACATCCTTCTTTTTCCTCATCAATAACTGAAAATTATGATGCCAGCAAGTATTCAATGTGGGATTTGGACGTTGAGGAACGTGGAAACGCGTTTACCGTCATCATAGTACCGTACAACACCCCCCCAAAAAAAAAAAAAAAAAAAAAAAAACGACTGTATATATAGGTGCTATTGAGATATTGCTGCTGTACATCTTCCCTGGCATGTCCATGTTCGGGGACATCAAGGCGGACATGGGCTCGAGGTTCCACAACTTCCGCATCTACGGCACCATCTTGCTCCTCTTGCTGACTGCCATCATTTTCGGCGGCGTGCGACTCGTGAATCGGTTTGCCGGCGTCGCACTGGCCTGCGTGCTCATCTCCATCCTGGCCGTGTACATTGGCATCGCCATCAACGCCAACGGCAGCGACTACTTGCCCATGTGCATGCTGGGCTCGAGGATCCTGGTGCAGGAGAAGATGCTCGGGGATCCCCTTGTGCAGCATCAGGGGACGACAGGAGGAGGTTGTGACGATGACCTGAGACGACACGGGCCTTTGTTTGAGTACTTTTGTCATCGGAGGGACGCGGTGAAGAACGAGACGCTGCCGTGTTTCAAGTACTTTTTGGACAACAACGTCACTGTGGGTGTCCTCCATTCTCTTCTTATTGACAAATTGTAAAAATGAAAATTAAACGACAAGGATAGTGTTTGATTCCAGCACTTATTCAGCGCGGAATTTGTCCATGTCCTCCGACGTTGCGATTTAATTTTCCGCTGCATAGGTGTCGCTCGAATCTGTTTCAGAGATGGGTTCTCTTTCCCATGATGGGAGTTCCACTTGTTAAAAAAAAGAAAATAAATCTTGCAATTTTCCGTGATATTTGAGCAAAAATCGAAGAAAGAAAGAAAGAGAGGTATAAATCTGAATTTTGTTTCAACTGATGATGCTGATGGAATATAGTCAAGTTATTGAAAGTTTGCCAATATAAAAATCTTTAATATTACAAAATTTCAAAGTAAATTTCGTCTGTGATTGCTGTGAAAAACTATCAAATTAAAATACAGCATCTACCTGTAAATTTCAAGCACACACTGAAAATTGCCTCATTGGAAGTTGGTGCAAAAATTTCAAAATTCAAGGCAAAGGATCAGCATACCTTTGAACAAGAATATGAAACACACTCTCCATTTAAATTGAATGAAGGAGAATATCTCCAATGTAAAGAAGTTTTTCAAGCTTATTCTCTTATTAGGCGTCAACCCTATATAGTCTTCGTTTGATTTCAATGAAATATGAAACTCCGCTGAGGATGATATTCGTGATTCAAGCGACACCTGCGTGAAAGCCGTATAATTTTGTTGCTCGCAACAGTGCAACAAAACCAGGAACATTACCTAACATTCATCTATGGATGCAATATATGTCATTATTTAATTAAACAATCATTTATTTGTACTCGTATTCTTCATGTATAGGTTAGACAAGGGATCAGGGGTCTAGGGTCCATGGCGTTGTTTGAGAGCATGAAAACGTCCTTTGTGGAGAATCCCGGGCAGTACGTGACTAATGCGAGGGATCCCTTGGAGCATCATTATGCCGGGGAGGATCCCGAGAATTTCCTCGTCAAGACCGACATGAAAACCAACTTCATAATTTTGGTCGGCATTTTCTTCCCCTCTGTCACCGGCATCATGGCTGGTTCGAATAGGTGCACAAAACAAATTAATTTATAATTTTCATTGATTTTTTTTTATTCTTATCTTATTGATGGACCATGCTCACTTTTGATTCTTCGCAGATCCGGTGATCTGAAAGATGCCCAGAAATCGATCCCGATAGGCACGCTGTCGGCTGTAGTGACGACGTCAGCGGTTTACCTGAGTGCAGTCGTGCTCTTGGCGGGTTCCGTGGACAACCTGCTGCTGAGGGACAAGTTTGGGGAGAGCATCGGAGGACGGCTGGTGGTGGCCAACCTGGCCTGGCCCACTGAGTGGATCGTGCTCATTGGCTCCTTCCTGTCCACCATCGGGGCAGGGATCCAGAGTTTGACTGGTGAGCATGGTCATCATCATCATCGTACAGGCGAAGAATATGTTTCTTCCATTTGCTGCCTGCTGCTTGGTGCTGCTGCCGGTGATGGAAACAAATATGGGGCACCATTTTTTTGTGGTTTTTTTTGCAGTATTTTTAAAAACAAGCAAGTCTCTCTGAATAAGTGAAGTTTGCTGGTTGAGTTACTGACCTTGCAGCCCATTTATCTGTAAAAACACAGCACTGGAACTATGCAGCTTAGTGACCACGCCTTGGCAACTTGCGGCCATAAAACTGCATACCAATTTGAAGGAAATTGAACAAGCTTTCAAATGGAGTTTTTCTTTTGCATTATTGCCACATCTCAATTTTCTGCTGAGTTATTTCAAGTTGTTTAAAAATTTTCAATTTTTTGGCCTACCCTGTATATGTATACAATATTCACTTGAGTACAATGCGCACCTTTTCTTTTAAATTTGAGAAGAAAATAGTCAGGTATACACTTTAAGCAAGTTTTACAAGTTTAGGTGTGCATTATACTTTATTCTAATGGGAAATTTTGAAGTTAGTTAAAGATAAAAATCTCATTTTAATGGAACTAATTGAAACTTAGTCAAATTGATGTTTTATTCATGTCTAAATTAAACCTGGGTGTTCTTATACAGCATTGGACATATTGTGGTTTCCAGTCAATAGAGGTGGGGTGTGTGTCTTACTCAAGGGCGTGTGGTACATGAGTAAATATGGAATATACATACAATAAATGAATAAATGTATGTATGTATTTTTTTAGATAGCTATATGTTTATATATGTAGTGGCAAAGAGGGGAAAAAGAGACACACTCTAACTAAATGTGTGCATGGGGTTATTTTTTGAAGGTGCCCCCAGACTGCTGCAGGCAATTGCCAGAGATGAGATCATCCCATTTCTCAGACCCTTTGCTGAGTCTGCGCCGAATGGAGAACCCAGGAGGGCCCTGTTCCTCACTTGGCTCATATGTCAGATATCTGTCCTCATTGGCAATTTGGACAATATCACGCCACTCTTGTCCTGCTTCTTCCTCATGTGCTATGGGTTTGTCAACCTGGCTTGTGCCCTTCAAACCCTTCTCAAGTCACCCAACTGGAGACCCAGGTTTGTGATTCCTAATCTAAGTAGAATTCACATGCACTCCTCATTTACTTTTTTTTTTGTTATATTCAGATGATTTTCGATATTGCTGATTTATTTCTGGCTTATGAATGATATAGGTTGGTTGTAAAACCACTGTGTATTGAGCAATTTGTATTATACCTGTGGCGTACGAGCCACAAAGAACAGAAAAAACAAGGCTGAAAATCAAAAGTTAATTGAAGTAAACACACAATCCGCCGGGAACACAGCAGGGGGCTTTTTGGTAAAAGCTCCAAATAAAAAAACATGATTTTATTCGAATTAGGAATTCAAGTAAATTTGAGAATCAATATAAATCGACTGACAACTTACGCAATATTCGAGAACAAATAAAGGCCAATTGAAAAGCACGAGATTTCACCAAACAACGGACAACTGATGAGAATGAACACCAAATAAAGACTCAGACAGAATTTCGAATCACACATATGAACAAGGTCCTGGAATGTAGTGTACTGCGCGAGGATTTTCGAGAGACTGTGTAGAATTGATAGTTTCAAAAATGGAGGTAAAGGTTAATGGTGCAATCAGCGGGATTCCAACGTGGAATTCCCAGCTGGAGGATTTTATGCTGTGAAAGTTGGGCATGGAGTTATCATGCATGGCGACATCTGTGCATTACAATACCAATACCTCATGAAATAATTGTTAGCCTAGGGTACAATGTTGAAGTCTGTTTGTTTTTTCTTCAAAATTATTGGTTATACTGTACATATAAAAATATAAAGATTTTTCCATAATTACAAATCATATAGATAACAGAGAATGTAGTAATACTTCCAAAACCAAAGAAGATTACCCAAGAATCATGTTACTGCAGTTACATATGACATGAAAGCAGGAAAAAGTTTCAGTTGGCAACTCTGCTTCAATGCTTGTGAGAGAGGGAATGCTGGTCATCGGAAATTAATATAGTTGCTATTATCGAGGAAATCTGGGTGTACCACATTTTGAATAGACATCATTGTTCTCTCCAGAAACAAGACATGAGTGAATGAGGGAGTGAAAAACATCAGGGACACAATAACCTTCAAGATGGTTAATTTTATCTTCTCAAACAAAGAGTTGTTGTCGTTATAGAGGACGAAGCCCAACATGATGAACAAACGGAGCTTGTATTCTTACGAGTTACTCTAACAATAAAATGAATGTCTCTGTTGTTCCAATCATATGCCTAAAATGAATAATGCTTACGCAATTGCATTTTAACTTGAATAAAGCCGAGTCCTCGAGAATTCAATTTTTTCTTTCTGGGTTCATCCTGATCTTCCGTGTGTGTGTTTATGTGGTTAATTTCATACTGGGTACTTCTGTTCACACTGATGATGATAATAAAGTTAGTCATTTCATGATGTGCCGGTTTTCAAGTCTCAATATGTCTGCATTTTTGACTCTTCTTCTTATTTCACTGCACATCATTGAACTACAGTATTTTTAGACGGCCATAAAATGGTAAATTATCGGTGTGCTGAGTCAGTACGATTCCCAGACGAAGGACAATATAATGACTGCCATATATTCGTCCTAAACAAATTGCAGGTTCAAGTACTACCACTGGTCACTCTCCATAACAGGCTTGGCGCTGTGCACATGCATCATGTTTATGTGCTCCTGGTTCTATGCCCTGTTTGCCATCGGACACGCCATGTTGATCTACAAATACATAGAGTTCAATGGGGCCAAGAAAGAGTGGGGAGATGGCATCAGGGGTTTGGCTCTGTCAGCTGCTCGCTTTGCCCTTTTGCGTCTGGAAGAAGGGCTTCCTCACACCAAGGTGAGGGATTTTCAAACAAAATATGAGGGTTTACTGATGATGATGATGATGATGATGATATCAACAATTGGTTTTTTATTAGCCTGCAACTGTTGAATTATTATTTTTTTCAAATTACAGTACTGTAGTTGTTACGTGACATGTTGTGTCATCCATTTGTATATACAGTGAAATCTCATTGCTGCAAATACTGTTACAACTAATTTTTAGTACTGTACTGAATAACAAACTTTTTCACAAGTCCTGGCAGAAAGCCCAGCTCAGAGTATTTCATAATAAGTAATCTTGTTGAATGAATGAACAGAAAACTGTATTTGCCGCTTTTCAGCATTCACAAGGCACAACCAAGACTCCCACATCCAAACCCCTTCCCCACCCAACCCAACTCCCCCCAAAGACATTCAATCATTTCAAAGCATGAAGCAAAGCACAAACCAATGACAAAAACAAAAGAGAACACACTCTACAAAATAAAACTGGACATCCTACACATATGCTGCATACACCCACCCATCCCCAATATTGAAGACAAAGCAGTAATCTTGTTATAACACGCTTTTCTGAGGAATATTCAATACAGATCTTTACCAGTATAAATTTCCTGACTAAGCCAGACACAGGCTGTAATTTCTAATTAAAAATGTGGCTGACTTGCTCTTACATATGCTGCCAAGAGATTCCACACATATGAAGAAATTGGTGCAACTTATCCAATGCATGAATGAAACAATATTGTTTCTTCTTCAGATCACTCAGTTTTTTCAAGGAATCAAAAAATCTGAGAATGTCGAGAAAAACAGAATATAATTGACTATTCATAGGCAGGTCTGATATGAAAATATTTTTTGATCAATAATTTTGAAAGTCTTGTTATATCAAACTATAAGTTTCCAGAAGAAGTTTGTTGAGATGCGACTTTACTGTATTTTCTCCAGAATTGGAGACCACAAGTGCTGGTGTTTGTCAAACTGGATGCGAACCTTGTGCCCAAGGAGAGTAAAGTTCTGGCATTCGCCTCTCAGCTGAAGGCGGGCAAGGGCTTGACAATGCCTGTGTCTGTCATTGAAGGAGACTTTGTGAAGCGCTTTGTCAACACTCAAGCTGCCAGAATTAATCTGCGAAAAGTGAGTGAGGCATTTTACTGATGTAAAAAGAATATATATACTGTACAGTACAGTACATGAAAAAAGGAATGTCGATATTGATTCATTGATGATGACATGCAGGTGATGGTGGAAGAGAAGCTGGAAGGGTTTGTGGAAGTCGTGGTGGCTCAGAATGTGCTTGCCGGTGTCACAGGCCTGATTCAGACTGCCGGTGTAGGAGGCCTGAAGCCCAACACCGTCATACTGGGCTGGCCCAGGTCCTGGCAGTCCACTGACAAGCAGTCGTGGAAGGTGTTTATTGAGACCATCCGCTGTGTTGCAGCTGCTCAAATGGCACTGATTGTCCCAAAGGCAAGAGCATATTCTTGTATACAACAGTGAAATCTCATTAAAACAAACAGAACATGTTTGTATAATAACTAAAAAGTTGTCATGAAAAGATTTTCAAAAGCATTGACTGAGAAGATTGTTTGAAGTTGAACCTTTATATTTTCAAGTCTTTCCTTTTGTGGTCTCTTCAGATGTTTTTGCATGTTTGAAAAAGTCTGATCTTCGAATAGAAGATCACCCCCCTTATTTTTCCCAGCCATAGGGAAACATTTTTGAACAAGAGGATGTTCAGGTGAATTTTGAGGGATTTTCCCCCCTCAATTCCAACTTCTATTCATGTCCCAAGAACAATTAAGTCATAGCCACATTTTGAATGAGAAATTTGAGTCTGTGCCTGCCTCCGTTTGGGATTTCTCATCAGAAAAATCACAACATGTTTAAAAAAAAAAGTTCGTTGTACTGGAATTGGAGATGGAGTTTGCTGTAGCAATATTTTTATATCATGCATCCTATAGCAGTGGTCCCCAACCAGTGGTCCATGGACCATCGCCAGTCTGTGGGAAATTTTTGTCAGGATAAAAAATCCATCAAAAGTAGCAATGAAGTCTGTTATCTTCATCTGAAATTTTGGAAAGACAATGGCAGTAGAAATTGTCATACAAGAAGAATGAAAATCGACTTTTATCTTAATAACTTTATCTGAATAAATTATTTTAATTTTTTTAATTCTGAGAAACC